TTATAACTCCTTTCGAACAAAAATGGCAGAAGGAACCTCTCCACCTGAGGACTCAAGGATATAGGAATCTACGAAAAGAGCTGGTGAGGGGGCTACTGTGAGAAAAGTGACTTTCCGATATAGTAACTGGTAAGTGGAGAAAGATGATTATAAACTCACCGGTGACAAAGAAAATCGCTAACAGGAGAACTAAAGTTGGGGCCATTAATATAAAAGGGTTACGATCTCGGCAAGCACTCATCTAATTCGAAGCCGTCTAGGATGGGAAGGGATAATCGATTGAACCAATTGTTATGAAAGGAGGGACATGAGCAGCAGCAATACTACAGGAAAAGTACATGGGTAAATATAGTCGTGGGCCGGTCTTGTACATCCTGCTGCTGGCTGTGTCAGTAATGTGCCGAGCGGCTATCAATGGGAGTTTGAGATTGACTCCAAAATCTATAGGTTTACAGTGACTCCTGGATCACACATTTGGACATGTATTGTGGGACCTAGCAGGGATACATCTTGGGCTATTTTATTGTTATGTTTATTACGTTGCTAAGGCAAACGTAGTATAAAAGGATCACAACCATCTGGAAACAACTCAAATAACGGAATAAATGGAAGGGACCCATGTAAATCGAGAACACGTAAAATGAGGTAACAGTGCAATTTCAAGGTTAGATATAAGACAAAGGCATAGAAGAAGTGGTCAACCGCAAGGACCTATGAAAGCTCATACTTACTGCAAACTTAGATAAAATAGCTGCCACAGTGTGTTTGAACTTAGGCAAGGAATCCGGAGTGTTCAAGTTTTTTGTTATCTTTTTGTCTCTTCGGCTCCCGCATAAATGTTCACTTCGTCCGGAGTGCGTGCATGTGGGTAATTCCAGTTGTACTAAACCAATAAAAGCTCTGATTTCTCCATGTCCCAAATGCAAATAAAAGTAGAAAAGTCACTGAACAAGAAGTAACCTTCAGGAAACTGTGACTGGTTTCATTTCTTCTCTGAAATCGTTTATAGACCGAAATCATAGAGACAACAAAAACACCTTCGAAATTAAGTCACGTGCCAATCACATAGCGTCATATCGCCAAACCCGCCCATCTCGGAATTCCCGCTCACCATCAAAGGCAACGAGCGTAAAAATTGTTGAAGTGGGTGAAAAGCCAAACTCCATTAAGGTCGAAATTGTCTGTTCGGTTTGTGCACATATTTTTCATATAAAAATTCGCTTTTAATTAGTGACGACGAATTTATTTATGAGTAGAGAACGAGTAAATAAAACAAAGAAACGTAAAAAGGTAAAGATGAATGGTAAGTCAAGGTGAAGTAGCCATAGTCAACGATTTCGTGAAAAAGGACCATCATGTTCAAATGCTGCGACTGCAGTATCTCCCCCTTTAAAGTGACAACGAAAAGCAGGGCTGAGCCCAGATTTAAGCTTATTCTCAAATACTGTCTGTCGTCTGACTACCTAGCAAATGCCTTTGCGATTTGGAAAAGAACTGCAATGCATGGCGTACTCTGAAACGCTTGAGCAATGCCAAGTGATTTCTTCTTCAAAGTTACCATCGCTGCACCACTACAGCACCATCAAAATTTATTTGGGTTCAGTGACTTTCTTGAATTCAGCAAAGGTGACTAGTCCATCACGATCAACATCAGCCGTATTCAGCGCTTTGTCGACCACCTTCTCGACTTGTTCGTCACTGAGCACTTCTGCTGAAATAACCAGTATTCTCTGTTATAACAGCTAGTTAGAGCTTTCCTGAACAGAGTAGTACTAACACAGACGACCGTCATGAGAGTGAATCATGGATTTCAAGATTTCAAGTCCATCCAGTTTTCCATCATGATTGAGATCGTTAATCCAGAAATAATGAAATCTGAGTGTGAAATTGATCAGGAAACTGATGCCTGTAGCCTCAGCAAACTGCTCCCACGACGCTACCATGTAACCGACAAAATGAATGACTCAAAAACCCTGTTAGATATCAATTCGTATCCGTTGATCTGAGTCTTCTAATCTTTTGGAAGCAGCTAGCACTGGGATACTCCTAATGAATCAAAAAATCCTACTAGCCGATAGCTGTTCACCTTTGCCCACTTATGCATTGCCATCTTTCAGACAAATGAATAGTTTAGTCGAGTTTCAGGGCTATACAAATGCTCACCGTTTTTGTGCCTCCGACCTAGGGGCGTCGATTTCAATTTTATCCTTGAGGTGCTCTTTCATATGACTGAAATGAAGCTGATCTATGAGCTCTGTGAAAATGGGAACAAAAAAGAACTCACGCTTCATCGTGAATTGCTTTATCGTCGCCAAATTCAAATTCGCCTACTCGAACGCCTGGAACGGCTAGAGTTTACAAAATTGTAATAAATTCACGAATGCATTTTGGTTAGCTGATTGCCATAGAACTTCGGGGCTTCCCAGCTTTGGGGCATTAGGGTCACAGTAGGATTTGAACCAACCAACACAGTTTCGGGCATCGTTTTGTCAAAATAACTCCGTATGTCGCCTCATTGAGCAGCAGAAAACCACCTAACGGGTTTTGACATATCCAAGAACGCCCTCGAATACAGCCTACCTAACAGCCTACCTTACCCTAATCGCTGAGACAGTGCCTCACTCTCGGGAACTGGGGGACATAAGAATTTGGCAGCAATATCTGGTATAGTGAAGTAAGAGCTGAGTCGATGTGTAAGTGGAAAGATTTAAACTCACTGGCAACAGAGAAAATTGTCGACAGGAAAAGCAATGCCGCAGAAATTGTTAGGAATGGAGTTGCCATAACGGCGAGCAATTATGGAATAAGAAAAATCTTGATATACATAGCTAGGGATAAACGATTAAATCAGTTGTTATGACAGATGGAAGCATGAGCAGCGATGGGAAAAACTACCCGAACAAATGTAGTTACAGGTCGGGCTAATGAATCTTACTGGCTGTTTCAATATTACGCCAAAATTCCAGAATTCTCAGTGGCATCCTAGGAAAGTCTGAGACCAATTTCAAATCCAAAAGCTTATGAGGCATGAAGCATTATGAGGTGCTACCTTGAGACGATTAATGTTTTTTAAGGGCAACGGCCAAGCGTGGTACCTCTCCAGAAGACCATTTACATTTGACTTGCACTTGACCTTTAGTAGTACCACTAGAGCATCTGGGAGGAAGAATGGCATCCATCATATCCAGTGCTGGATCTTCAGATGAATTGAACAGCATGCAGATATTAAGGGCAGTGAGTACCTCAAGTGATGAAATCGATTGGGATGACGAAACGATCTAGAAAATAAGTCGATTCCGACTCAACCTTCTAACTGAGGCGTTGTCTGTAGCCACTACGTCCTCCACAGAGTTGCTCTCCATACCAGTTTATGTAGTCTAACAGTATTTGCACCGTCTCCTCATTTTCAAGTTTGCAGAACTACATCCCCTAGTCCCGGATCGATATCCGCCTAGACCAGCCAAGCCTTCCAAGACCACACAAGCACTCAATGCGTCACTACGATCTTTAAATGGAAGTTGAATGTGGGGGCGCATCCCCCACAGGATTAGATTAATGCCGTAGACCTCGCTTTTTCATCCTTCTATCCTCCAACCTATGTTCTATGTTTGGCTTAGGAAGTGCTTCCGGACCTCATCACCTATCTGACAAGTAGTTTCATTTAAGTCAAGACCATGTTCTCTGTACCAGTAGAAAACAGTACTTCTGCGAAAATTGTGTGTTACCATCAGGTAAGCTCACAATGATGAGCATTAAAGGATAAAGTTTTTGGCGTTAGTCAATCCCGTCTGAGGGGTGCGCCCCCGCACTCGACTTCCATTCAGAATCGTAGTGGCATAATGAGTGCGTATGTGGCCTATACAATGACTTGCGGTGGCCAGCCGATGTCCAAGTCAGCGCTTTTATCCTCCCAGACGAGTCTGATACCAATTAACCGACCCCGGAGGGATGGAAGGCTTGGTTGCCCTAGGCGGATATCGATCTGGGATTCGAACCCCTGACCATGCGTGTGAGATAGTGCGCCACTTGCCACTACACCACCTCCGCCCCTATACCTAGAATATCTCCAATAGATCAAGGAAAGCCAATAAAGGAAGAAGAGGGTGAACCAGGGAGATTTAGCGCTTGGGGCATTGTAAGGTACAGACGATCCTGAGGATAAGAAAGCGCGATTGTACTGGTACCAAATAATTGACCCCGAAGGGATGAAAGGCTTGGCTGACCTGGGCGTATATCGATGTGGGATTCGAACCTTTGACGTGTGATATAGTGCGCCACTTGCCTATCTCGCCACCTTCGTTCAATAATGATCATTCTTCTACAGTTATTCTCTACTTTCCTAATCTTTATATTCTTCGAATGTTATCAACTTTATGCCCTCCAGGTGGGCTTAGTTAGTTTGGGTTCACGATTCATGCTCCGCTCTTCATGCTCTTCTTTCGCCTTGCCTCCATTGCCTGCCTTTATCCTGTTCCACCCCGAAGTTCTCGCCTATCTATGGCTACTTTCAACTAAACTGAAATTCAACCATTGCTACATGAACGTATATTTATTGAGCCCTTTTTGGGTTTCTATTTTTATTCCTAATGTATACAGTGACGTGGCAAATTAACTGAAACAGGGTTGAACCACGTTAAGCCGGCGATTTTCCGAAGGAAAGACACAAGCTGGATCATTATAATACCGTCCGTTTGGCACTTGGGTTGAGGTTGAAAATTAGCCTAATCAGGCGAGTAACTTCTGTCTCATCCATCATTTTCAGTTACAGACAGCAAAGCTTTTTACCTGCTCCATTGATCTGTTTCTACTGTCAATTGAGAGAGTCCTGAGCCAATTTTTTAGAGGCGCATAACTCCGGGCATTTTCCTTCAAATATTTTTTAATTAAAAGTGTATCATAGTTTAAGTAAGGGAGATACAGAGCCGAAGACTTAGGCCTTGTCGCACGAAGAAAGAAGCGAGATAAACTGTTCGGACTTGCTTACAAAAATATGCACGAAGAATCCATTTTTACTTTATTGCCAATCACTACAGAACAATATCTTCCTTGGAGCTATCATTCTCCTTCACGACACGGCAACATCACAAAACTTTATTTGGGCTCAGTGACTTTCTTATATTCAGCGAAACTAACAAAGCCATCCCGATCTAAATCCATGTGGTCCATCGAAAGATCGACCACCTTTTCCACCTCGTCATCGCTGAGTACCTTAGCTGAAATAGCAAATACTTTTCAATACCATGGCTACATAGCTAAGGCATAGAGAAATAAAACTGACTCAAGTGACCATCATGCGAGTGCGTCATAGATTTTAGTATCTCAGTTCCATCCAGTTGATTATCATGATTGAGGTCGTTTATCCAGAAGTAGTGAAATCTGAGTAAAGTTAAAATCTGAAAGTTATACAGTAACTGATATGAAAGCAGTGGTGGCTTTTCCTCGAACTCCCACGGACACGCGATGGTCCCGCGGCCACTACCGTATTCTCCCACCACCTCTTACTATGACTTTTTATCAAAACAGGGAATGTCTCAATGACTAGTGACTAGAGGATAGTAGTAATCTGCAAAATGCGTTTCAAAAGCATGTGCACACCCAACATTTTGTTTTTCTGGGAATACCATTGCTTTCTGTACCCTGTGACCTGCACCATTCAATTCCTTGTGTGCAATAAACCAAGGACACTTTCTCTGAAAAAACATCGTAGCTGCCAACACAATTTTTTATCAAAGAAAAATTTTTTCTTTGTTCCAAAAGTATGTGCACACTCAGCAAAAAACAAAAATATAGCTGAGATCAGGCATCAATAGGGCCCCTAAATTTCTGTACAGATTATCGACAACGAGGAATCGTTTGA